TTTCATTCTTCTACTTATGGACATCCTGAACCCTGATAACAAAACTAAAGACACATTTAAGAAAGAAAACTTCAGACCAATATCCATGATGAAGATGGTTGCAAAAAAATGTGGTTGACAAACCACATTCAAAACTCATTGAGAAGATATATCAAGTGAGATTCATCCCAGGCATAAAAGGTTTCAAATTTCATTCTTCTACTTATCGACATCCAGTTTTCCCAGCACCATTTTTTACAAAGGCAACCTTTTCTTTAACATATGTTTTTTGAACCTTTGTGCAGTATCAGATGATTGTATCTATAGAGGTCTTTCTCTGTGTATTTTATTCTATTATGTTTGTCCTCAAGTCTGTTGTGGTGCCAATACATGCTGTTTTTGTTACTAGACCTTTGTAATATGATTTGAGGTCCACTATTTTGATTCCTCTAGCATTACTCTACTTGTTTTGGCTATTCTGGGACTTTTATTCTTCCAACTCTATTTCAGAACTGTTTTTTCTAGTTCTGTTAAGAATATTATTAGTATTTCTATGGGGATTGCATTGAATCTTATAATGCTTTTGGTGATGTTTTATTCAGCTTTTTTGTTTGTATGACCAACAGACCTGACAAGAACAATTTATGTTTCACATTTATTAAAAGTCACAATTGAATTTCATTTTCCAAATGGAACCTACTGTAAAAAATCAATTAAAAGGTGGAATAGTCAATAATTAATGGAAAAAAAAAAACTGTTATTTTTCCAATTACTTGGTTCATTTTAACAAGGATGCATCATTTCACTGCGTCAGTCCAATGTTATTTCAGGTGAGAGGACATAGCAATATTGTCTCTGAAGTCTCATTTCTTCAAGTTGGCCCCCACCATAGTTTTCCAACCAAAGTTTTCCCTGGAGACTAAGTAAAACTAAGAACAATGGGAAACGTTTTTAAAAAAATTATTTAAGGAACACAAAAATGCATCTCAGTAATTTTTTAAAAAGCCAGTTTTAAAATTCATCCTATGCTACCTCACCATTCCATATGCAGTCTGAAAGGTGATTGATTCCTAGACGTCTTCTGGTTTCTACACATTTTAAGGTTACTGAGTTTGATACAAGAAAACGTGAAGTCTCACACAGCCCCTTGTCATCTGATTGGAACTATTTGTGCCCCACCTCTCTCTCCACACACTTGCCAGTTCCCCTGCTGGCCCACAGCACAATGGGAACACAGCTGGCTGGGGTCATCTGAGTTTTAGAGTAGTTTTCTTTTTTGTTACCTGTAAAAAGCTAGGCTCAGATTTTAGTCTTGGCCTCACTAATTTCATGCTCTAGTCAACAGTTAAGCAAATACACAAAATTGACTTTTGTTTTTCATATTTCCTAGGTGAGACTGAGGCTTTTAAAAGAAATATTACATATAAAAAGACAAAAGCCTAAATGAGGAATTAGAAGGGTTTTATGTACTATTAAAGGCAAAACCTCACAATTTATTTCTATTTGTTTTACAGAAAATAAAAGGAAATGACCTGATTTTTTAGGTCTTAAGGTCCTAACCTAATAATAAAGTGTTAAAACCAGCATGAAAAGAATAACTAATTCAAAATGTAACTAACAGCCAGTGTTCTTTAGGATTTAAGGAAGTGCTATGTTCTAGATTTAGGCAAATGATTCCTTAGGTTACCAAATGCATTCCCATGAGTGTTTCTTCATTTATTTACCCAAAAGAATTAAAATCCTACTACATGTACATATTTGTCTTAAGACTTGCTCTAATTCAATGCCTAAGTACTGGAGATTTAGGCTAGATATACCTATTAGTGGGAAGCTGTTCTCAACTCTTTTACAGCTTATACCAGAAAGAAGAAGCTATCAGTGCAGGAGGATAGAAACATCTGCCTGGTGAACCTACCAGTAAAACCCTTAATATAGAAGAGCAACAACTACTTATTTTTTCAACCCCATAATTTTTTTTTTAAGAATTAAAGTAGTAAAAAGTCAACTTTTTTTTTGTATGATAGAGGAGTGTAAAGTTTCATAAGCCAGTGTACATATGTTTATGAGCAATTAAAAAAAAAGGCAAAAAAGCTGCATTATACTGAATGGATATGTAAATAAATCCACTCCAGGTCAAGCTATTACAAGTCTTAAATTCTTAATGGCAAGGCTTTGAAAGGCAACCGAGGCTGAATGTTAGTAATGCTGCAGAAGTAAGGTGTACTAACATTGTTTCCTCAAAGGAATGGAGAGGGGGAAAAAAAGCACAATTTTGATGGCTCTTTTCACATTTCAGCATCTCAAAACTTTATCCAAAGCAGGGAAAGCAAATCCAAAAGCTTCTGTCTGCTCATTATCATTCCTGAAGGGTGTTGTGGGAATGAATGCCAGAATGACTCGCCCAGGGCAGGCTGGGTGTGGCAGAAAGCCACTCTCACATGAGGCTGGCAGAGGAGGGAGCTTGGGAAGCTGCAAAGTCAACAAAACTCATGGCCTCCCAGGTTCTTGCTCTCAAGTATGTGATGCTGCTGTGGAACTGAAGGGTTCCAGACCTCTTGCCTTTGGGTTCTGTTGGTTACAAATGCAATAGGTTGTATTTGCAGCACTTCAGTCATTTAAAAAACAAACCAGCTCACCCTCCTTCCCTCTACCTACCCACCTATAGGAAAGGAGAAATTGATTAAGCATATTTAAAAAAGGTTTATGCGGTGCTATTAAAATTCAAATGTAAAATCTAACAGCCAAAGATCATTAGGATTATCTTCAGGGACCCTGTGATGGATATGAAGGTTGACAAACTGAAATGAGATGGACTCAGCTGTTGGCTCAATCTCTTGGCGACAACAGCCTTTCTGTTCTGTTCTACCTGGAGTGGTCCCACGCCTCCCACTCAGTTAACCCACTGGGCAGCAGCAGGGTGGTTGTTTTGGGGAAGCTACTGATTTTGCCATTTGCTTCCAGAATCACATAGACTATAACAAACTTTACACTAAACACTGGGTAAAAGCCCAATGGGACAGAGTTCATTAGGACTCTCTTCCCTCTTTGGCGTGGTGTCATACATGGCCTTCAGTTTTCTCTTCTTCCATTGCTTGACTTTCTGTTCCTTTTTCATTGGTGATGCCCTCTAAAGTCTTCTTGTTCATTGCTTTACTGGCCTCTTCCTTTGTGTCCTGCTCTGCAAACTTCTTGAACATGTTGGTGTGTATCCTACGGTCCTGCTCATTGTGCTCCTTTGCCTTTTTCTGGCACATGGAGATCTGCAGTTTTGCAGCCTTGTTCCGGGGATTTACTTCCAACACTTTCTCAAAGTCACCCTTTGCTGACTCAAACTCATTCATAAGCAGCGGTGCTTCACCCCTCCTGTACAAGCCTTTTTCATTGGTATGTCAAGTCCAAGGGCCTTGTCACAACACTCTACACCTTTGGAGTATTCTTTAAGTTTCAGGTAGCACATAGCCAGTTTCAGAGATGCAGGGAACAGAAATGACTCAGAAGCTTTCAATTCCTTTTCTGATAGACCATATTCCATCTCTACCAGGATACTATCTTTCCGTACTGAATCACTGCTTGCATGTATTTGCCTCCCTTGAAGTATACCGTTCCCTTCTCTTTGACAATGACAGCCTGCAACAGTTTTTCTTTGGTGTCCATCTCCTGATACCAGCTCCATAGAATGAATTTGGCAGTGTTCTTTCCTTTTCTATTTCATGGAATAATTTGAGGAAGATTGGCTTTAGTTTTTCTTAAAAGGTTTGGTAGAACTTGGCTTAGAATCCATTCAGTGCTGGGCTTTTAGTTCAAAGACTTTTAGTAGCTGCTTCAGTTTCATTATTTGATTTGATTTGTTTAAGTTTTTTGTACCCTCAAGGTTCAAATTGGGTAGGTCATGTCTCTAGGAATTTTTAACATCTTTGAGATTTTCTAATTTGTTTGATTATAATTTTTTTATTTTTCTTTTCTTTTTTTGTGTAGTTGTAGGTGCACAGAATGCCTTTATTTAATTTATTTTTATGTGGTGTTAAGGATCAAACCCAGTGTCTCACACATGCTAGAGAAGAGCTACAGCCCCTGATTATAAATTTTTCAAAAATTTCTAAAGATCCTCTGGATTTCAGTAGTGTTTATGGTGATATTTCCTTTGTCATCTCTAATTTTGTTAATTTGCATCTTCTCTTTCTTTTGGTTTGTTTGACTAGGAATTTATTAATGTTGTTTATTCTTTTAAAGAACTAACTCTTTGTTTCTTTGAGTCTTTGTATTTTTTTATTCTCAATTTCATTGATTTGGCTGTGATTTTAAATATTTTCTATTTTCTGGATTTTGATGTTAGTTTGGTTTTCTGTAGGACTTGAGTTATAACATTAGATTTTGTTTTGTTTTCTATTTTTTTTTTAATTTAGGAACTCAGCTCCCTAAACTTTCCTCTTAGAACTGCTTTCCTACCGTCCCAGAGATTTTGATATGTTGTATCATTATTCTCCACTTGTTTCTAAAAATTTTTAATTTCTTTCCTGAATTTTAGGCTCTCCATTCATCTTTCAAAATTATATTTTGTAGCTAAGCAAGGTGGCACACACCAGTAATCCCAATGACTGGGGAGGTAAGGCAGGAGGATTACAAGTTTGAGGCAATGTAGCAAGGCCCTAAGCAACTTGGTGAGACCCTTTCTTAAAATAAAAAAATAAAAAGGACCCCCGAGATCAATCCCCAGTATCCTCTCCCCACAAAAAGGAAATGTATTTTTTAAGCTCCAGGTATTAAAGTGTTTTTTTTTTCTTGTTGATTTCGAATTCCATTCCATTATTATCTGATAGGATGAAAGAAATTGTCCTCTTTTTTTGTTTTATATTTTCTAAGAGTTGCTTCTATCCTAAAACAGGATTTATTTTAGGAAATGTTCAATCTTCTGTTGAGAAGAAAGTAAATTCAGTTGTCAATGGATGAAATATTATATAGATGTCCATTTGGTCCATTTGATTAATAGTATTTTTTAGTCATTAAGGATCTTTACTTAGGGGGCTGGGGATATAGCTCAGTTGGTAGAGTGTTTGTCTCCCATGTATAAGGCCCTGGGTTCAATCCCCAGTCCTAACAACAACAACAAAGAATCTTTACTTAGTTTATGTCTGAATGACTTATCTAGTACTGAGAGTATTAAACCACCCAGCATTATAGTACTGTGGTCTATTTGATTCTTAATATTGAGGTTTTGTGCTACAAATACATCTATTTTAATCTCTTTGCCATTGTTCCACAGGTCACTTGGTCCTTATTCATGTTTTGTCCTTTTTATTTGTCATTGTAGACAGCTTTTATTGGTATATCTTCATGTTTATGGATCTGTTTTTCCTCTGGCCTAATCTGATGGTTAACCTATTCATTGCATTTCTTAGTATTGAAATTGTATTTTTTTAGTTCTTAACTGTTCTGTTTTTTATAAGCATTTAATTTCTCATTGAATTTTGTTTCATGTTCTTGCATACTTTTATAACAACTGGCTTAATGTTCTTGTCCCCTAATTTCATACTCTTATTACTAGGTATCTTTATTGACTGATTTCTTTTCCTAGTTATGGATTTTATTTTCTTGTTTTGGTGAATGTCTCTTGTAATTTGTATTGGATAGTAGACATTGTAAATATTTTGTTGGTGAGTGTCTGGGTATTATTGTATTATTGTCTCCCTTTTAAAAAAGTTGAATTTTATTTTGGCATCAATTAACTGTCTAGTGGAACAGCTTGATTTTATTTTATTTTATTTTATTTTATTTTATGTTTTTTGGTACTGAATATTGAATCCAGAGGTATTCTACTACTGAGCTGCGTCTACAGCCCATTTTGTTTTTTATTTTGATGCAGGGTTTTGCTAATTTGCCCAGGTGGCCCCAAACTTGTGATCTTCTTCCTTCAATCTCCCAAATAGCTAAGATTAAATGCATGGACCACTGTGCCCAGCTGCAGCTTGATCATTTGGGCATTATGAGTGTGGATTTAGAAAATTAATTATTTCTCTAGGAATAGTTTAGTTCTCTTCTGATATTATCTTTCTGTGGTCACTACTGAATGCTATCAATATTTAGTGAGACATAAAATGATAATATCTCCTAGTTATTAAAAAAAACTCTGGGAATTGTTAAGCTTGAAGATCTTTAGTAATTTTTCCCCATAGTTTTCCTTATGTAGCCTCAAGTAGTTTCATTCCATGTGTGCATTACTTAGAATTTAACCAAAGATTTAAAGGAACTTGTTTTAGTCAACTTTTCTGCTGCTATGACCAAAAGACCTGACAAAAACAATTTTTAGGAGGAAATGTTTATTTGGGGGCTCATGGTTTCAGAGATCTCATTCCAAAGATAGCTGGCTCTATTCCTCGGGGTTCAAGGTCAGACAGAACATCATGGTTGGAAGAGTGTCACAGAGGAAAGTGGCTCAGGAAACAGAGAGAGCACGCTACTCAACAAGGACAAAATAGATACCCCGAAAGCACAACTTGTAGGGCTCACCTTTTCTAGCCACATCTTACCTGCTTAAGTTAACATCCAGTTAAATCCCCATGATAGATTTAACATACTGGTTATGTTTAGGCTTATAAATAATCATTTCATCTCTAAATTTCTTGCATTGTCTCACACATGAATTTTTGGGAACACCTGATTAGGTAGATTTCTAGAATTCTTTTTCTGCACAACTGCACATTTGTGCTTGGCCAATTCTAGTGGTCTCATTTTCCTTGAGAAACCTCTTCTGGCTGCAAGGCTACAGTATTCTTCTTGGACTTTTCTTCTCTGGGCTGAGAAGTTTGCAACTAGACAGAGAACCAAGGTGGATACCTCCTTTGTTCTCCTAGAGATCACTGGTCTATGCTGCCTGTTTTCCCTCTATGAAACAGTTAATACATTTTATACAGGTGTCTAGTTGTTTATAAAGAGAGGGGAAGTTTGAATGCCAGTAACTCTTTTATGGCTGTGAGCTGAAGTCTAACTACATTTATTGTACTATTTTTTCGGGGGTGGGGGGCGGTTAGGGTAATGTAGTAGCAACAGGAAGATTCAAAGAAATTGGTCCCTTCTCCTCCCTTTTGGCAATGGTTAAGAAAGAGACTATCTCTGGACTGAAGACAGCTCATCTTTCTTAGAATTGTATTTCCCAGTAGAATCCACATTATTATGATCAATAGAACTGTCCTCTTTTCTAGCTCAAGAAAGACTTGCTAAATTGTTAAAGCTTGCCATGTGGAAAGGTAAAAAAGAGAGTGGTTAAAATGTATCATTTTACTTCTACTCTCATTTCAGGGAATAATTACCTTCTTTTGAAAGAAAGATAAAAGGCATATTGTTAATCTATAATATAGTTGCTGATAATATCGCTGTGTCACAAATTGCTTTAGGCTTTCACATGGCATAGTAAAGGCTACTCTGAGACAGCTGATGAAATTTTATTGGTCTACCTGATTGCCCCTTTCCAGAAATCACAGTATGGTCCTATTTTTACTGTGATTTCTTTTCATTTGAAAGGATAAATAATCTAGAGGAAATTTGTTCTTTGTATGTATAATATCTCATTTATGCCTTCTTTCTTTTTCTGGCTTATTGGTATCTATTAAGAAAACTTTATTTTCATTTATTGCTCCACCTTACATGTGTAAACTATAATGCATTTCCTTGTATTTGCTAATAAAGTAAGTATAGTCATTTAAACATGTCTACTTGCCTTTGAGATCATGTTTTTGTTAAATGTTTACTTTAACAGAGTAAGAAGAAGAAAAGATCATGAAATATTAGATTTTTTTCCAAGAGTCCTGACTTACTGATAGTGGTAATACTGAATGTGAATTCAAAAACATTTCATCATGGTTATGAAAGATGGATGTTGATATTAGAATAGAAACAGGAAAAACTGAACTCTGGAACTTCATATCAGATTGTCTGAATATTCCTAGTATTTAGACTAAGATCATAGAGACTTACATAGGCAGGGAAGAATCTAGAGCAGTGCATTTTAAAGTATATTTCACAGAAAAATCTGTGGATCAGACTGTTTTCTCTGTAGGGCCAGGTCAGAGAATACTATGGAAAGTATCTCTAGGCTATGGTAGGTGCTGTTTAGAATAAGGACTCTTTTAAAAAAATGTTTATTCAATTAAGTATTAATTGTACATAATTAATTAGGGGTACAGTGTGATAATTGGATACATTTACATAGTGTACATGATTGAGTCAATATTAAACAGATTTTTTTATTAACACATAATGATTTTACATATATATGGGATACAGTGTGATCTTTCTTTAAGTATATAGTACATACTTATCAAATCAGGATAATTAATGTTTCTGTCTTCCTGTAATTACATTTTGTTTGGAGCTTTTGAGTGCCTCTCTTCTAGTTATTAAGAAAATATAAAACTAACTTATTATAAACTCTTGAAATTACCCCTCTGAACTACAGAATTGGAACTTCTGTCTCACTGTTTTGGTACCTGTAATCCAATTTCTGTCTTGCTCACCCTTCCCAGCTTCTAGGAATCACTTTTCTACATTTCAATCAAAATTTTCAAACATCCACACATGAAAAAGAATATGCTGTACTGTTTTTCTTTTCTTTTCTTTTTTTTAGTTATAGACGGATATAATACCTTTATTGTTTATTTATTTTTACATGGTGCTGAGGTTCAAACCCAGGGCCTCACATGTGCGAGGCAAGCGCTCTACCACTGAGCCACAACCCCAGCCCACTGTACTGTTTTTCTATGTCTGATTTCTGCCAATTCACATAATAAGTTGGAATTCTTTTTTTTTTTTTTTTTTGGGTACCAGTGATTGGACCCAAGGGTACTTAACCACTGAGCCACATCCCCAGCCCTTTTTATTTTTTACTTTGAAACAGAGACTCACTAAGTTGCTTAGGACCTCACTAAGTTCCTAAGTGTAGCCTTAAAACTTTTGATCCTCTGGCATCAGCATCCCAAGTTGATGGATTTAGAGGCATGTGCTTTTGGGCCTGTCACCACAGGAATTTAGGGGTTTTTTGAGACAATTTTTTTCTTTTTCTTTTGTTTTCTTTTACTTACTACTAATACAGGTGTTTCTTTTTATTTTTAGTTATACATGACCATAGACTGTATTTTTTTAAGAGAGAGGGAGGGAGGGAGGGAGGGAGGGAGGGAGAGAGAGAGAGAGAGAGAGAGAGAGAGAGAGAGAATTTTAATATTTATCTTCTAGTTATCAGTGGACATAACATCTTTGTTTGTATGTGGTGCTGAGGATCGAACCCAGGTCGCACGCATGCCAGGCGAGCGCGCTACCGCTTGAGCCACATCCCCAGCCCCATAGAGTGTATTTTGACATACCATACATATATGGAGTATAAATTCCCATTTTTTTCTTGTACATGATATGGAGTTACACTGGTCATGTCTTCATATATGAACGTAGGAAAATTATGTCTGATTTATTCTATGATCTTTCCCATTCCCATCCTTTCTCCTTGTTTCCCCTCATTAACTCCTGTCCAATCTGCTGAACCTCCACTCCCCACTCCATCCCCACCTATTGTGAGTCAGCATTCGTGTATTGGGACATCAGGATTTTGGTGTTTGGGGATTGGCTTACTTCACTTAGCATGATAGTCTCCTGTTCTATCCATTTACTGTCAAATGCCTTAATTTCATTCTTCATTATGGCTGAGTAATATTCCATTGTGTATATGTACCACATTTTCCTGTTTCCATTCCTCTGTTCGAGGGCACCTAGATTGGTTCCATAGCCTAGCTATTGTGAATCAAACTGCTGTGAACATTGATTTGGCTGTGTCACTTTATAGCTAAATTTAAGTCCTCTGGGTATATGCCAAGGAATGGGATAACTGGGTCAACTGGTGGTTCCATTCCAACTTTTCTGAGAAGTCTCATACTAATTTCCAGAGAGGTTGCACCAGTTTTTAGTTCCAACAGTAATGTATGAGTACCTCTTTCTCCCATCCTTGCCAACACTTATGATTGCTTGTATTCTTGATAATTGCCATTCTGACTACAATGATGAAATCTCAGTGTAGTTTTAATTTGCATTTCTTTAATTGCTAGTAATGTTGAAATTTT